AGTACTTCCTGTGTCATGGCCACAGCTACTAGCCACATGTAACAAGGACACACATGTAATCTGCACAGTATGTAGGAAAGGCATCATTTTCTGACCGCACAATACTATAACCGTTCAACTGCTGTTCCTATCATCTGCTGTAATCTTGATGTTAAGAATAAACACCTCTTTTGAATGAATCGGTATTGACGAGTTCAGCTATCTGACGAGGATTGTCCGCAGTGAGTATATCTGCTTATACAGGCCAGGCATAGAGGTCTCAGCAAGGGATATATTTCGCTATCACAACGATCGGAGTTAGAATAGTGTTAATTGCACGGTAACATGAGAATAATGCACACTGGGGGAAATTCATATGAACTGGAACAGTTGGCCCTAGTAACCAATCAGCTTCGTTTTCAAAGCTTAACTTAACGTTTTCGTTTTCAAAGCTTAACTGAAAACTAACTGAAATGAGAAACTGACCGGTTGCTAAGGGCAACTGCTCCAAATTATGTCTGCTCCAGTTTTATGAATTCCCCCCACAATCGTTCAGTGTACCTAGCGTGCCTTACTGTGCACTGGGTTCATTGTAATTCATTTGAAAGGCACCCAAATGCACCTCCAGGTGGCCATGCGTTGTAGTGCAACTCAAGGCACCACAATACCATGCATTGCGGAGAAAACCAAAAGACATGTACTTTTTTCACACAATGCATGGCATTGCAGTATCATGTATTGGGCTGTGTTGCAACACAAGACACGTGGTGCATTGGGATGCCATTCAAATGAATTGCAATGCACCTAGCACATGGTAAGTCACACTAGGTGTGATGTACGATAGTGTGCGTTCTGCTCACGGTATTGTGCGATTAACACAATGCTATGGTCAGGGCCGGATTTACTCTCTGTGCTGCCCCGAGGCCAGGCTCCTCAATGCACCCCCCTACCCGCCAAACCCCTTCCCATGGAGAATGGCAGACTTGCAGGCTGCATACAAGGGATCTCGGTGACATCGCTGGGGTCACTTGTACAAAAAAAGTGGCGGCTTCCCCGATGTGGATAGCTGTCTGGAGCCATCTATAATTTCTGCAACAAAAATCCACTGATTCTTGTGGTGAAAGTTCGCAACTGAACTTAAAAGCCCACTGTGAGCGAGGCCTTAGTGATTTTTACGCAATGCACAATGTGGAGTGAACCGGTAACATACAGAACAATTGTTTTCTATGTGTCTTTGTGTTGATCAACGCAGGACAACGCAGCTCAATGCACTTGGTGTAAACAAGCTTGGCCAGCTTAATCTGTTAAAAGAAGATGAAAGATTATAGATTTACAGGCCGGATCACCAGGTTATACAACCATGTTGCAGGGGGGACATAGAAAAACAAAGACTCGTCTTAGGGCCCATTCACTCCAGTAGGCATGCATTATGGTCCATATAATGTGCTTGGGCTGGTGGTAGTGGTGGTGCGATGTGTTGGAACAATGTTTTACAGTGTTTACATTTTATCTTTTTTAAACTTTATTGAATATTAAAACATTTCATTCAACTCTATGCACAACATCAGATCACAATGTGCGGGCGTGCATTGTAACAGATTGTTGTGCAGTGCACTGCATAAAAACACAGACATGCTGCATTTGTATGTAGTGCACACCAACACACCTGTATGATGTCAACGGGGCACATAGAAAACTATTGTTTTCTAGGAGTTCTTGCAGTAAGCCTTTGTTGATCATTGTTACACAACGCAGCATACCATGCCTGGTGTACAAGCCCTAAATGCTACAGACTGCATGCCATTTTGTATTCTGCCCACAGTTCCACTTTATGCACAGCTGTGGTCATTATAAAAAGGAAAATGCAACAGGTGCTGCAACATATAGTGTATAGAGGCAATCGAACACGCATAGCCCCCAGCTAGACATGAACAGAGATGATACACAGTATATAGAAAGGAGATATTCTCAGAGTGTCCAAGACATGTAAGATGCCAGGGACTGACTGAGCCTACCTTATCCCACTAATAACTAAAATCTAAACTAACCCTATCTAAATACTTTACTTTGAATTGAGAAATACTTCCTACAGTAATATGATGGTTTTCTCTCACTTTCTCCCCATTACTGGCCACAGTAGCTCTGTTGCCCAGCTGACCTTGGGAAACTAGCAGGGTTATTGACAAAAAGGGTGAATAGTTTGGGGACAGCAGAAGTGAACAATCTAGGCCAAAAGAGCAGATTTGGAAACATTCTCCAATTCAGCTCAATTTCCTGGTCAGCTAAGCTGTCCTAGATTGTTCACTTCTCTTCTTCAAACTCTTCACTCTTTAGTGAATAGCCCTGTAGGTCTGTCTACTCAGCCATAGCCAATGGCAAAAAGCAGAAGGATGCCAGACCTCATAAGAGTGGCAAATAACGATGTTTACAACAGGTGTCCTTTTGTTTAAATATTAACTCCAGGCAGAATAGAATTTTACGCTTGCAGTGGGGCTACTGAAGAACTGTAGAATAACACGTGAGGATATATGTACATTAGCTGTGACCAGGTTTGATATGAACAGTGATAGTCACAGTGAAGAGCCCAAAAGCCATACACAGCTGCTGCTGCTGCTTCTTCTTCTTTTACGACAGTCACTTGACAAAGCAGTGCTGTCTAAATCCAGCTGCATCATAGCACTCTGTTTCACTCCACTCTTTAATTCAAAGGGACAGAGAAAGACGTTGCACTACTCTAGTACCATGATTTTTGGACTGGGAAAAAAAAAATCCACTAAGGTGCTAATGTATATGCAAAAACTCTTCAACAGGATTTGTATTTACCCAATGCACCTCAATATAAAAAGTACTGGTGTGAACAGAGCCTAAAAAAATAATGTCTTTTCTAATATTAATGGAACCCATAACTGTGTACCTAGCGTGAACAAGGCTATAGGTCTGTGGAATGATACTTAATACAACTGGGAGGTTAAGAAAAAGTTTAACTGTTCTTGCTGAAAAAGATGCGTGTGGTGTGCTTTTATATTATTCCTTGTAGCAATTGCACAGTGAGTTGCAAACATGAATGAGCCCAACTGGATACCTTCAATATCATATCAGTAAACTGACTAATGTAAAGTTAAAAAGCACCAGTGTGACCCTACCTAACGGGAGGCAGACATGCTAAATATTGGGAGCCGATAACTCAATGCGTATCTAAGTACACAATGCTGTGTAAGCAAGCCTCGATTTTGATGGACTATAGTAGGGTTTTTTTTCAACCTCTTTAGCTATTTAAAGGAGAACTATGAGTGATTTCCACTCACCTCATAGTTCTAAGCCGACCTGTGACAATGAGACTGTCACAGGTCGGCTCAGTAGATCGGGAGGTGAGGGAACACATACCGGGTTCCCTCACCTCTCGATCCTGTCACGGCTCTCTGCCGTGACAGGGGGAGGGGCTGGATTCCCCCCTCCTATCTGCCAGCGCTGACTGGTGGAACGGATGGGGGAGGGTACAGCTGGTAGGCAGAGCCAGCTGTCACTCACGCAGCTGGGCGGATCCCGTCATCTACGTCGGGATCTGCTCCAGGTGCGGCGTCTCAGTATACCGCAAGCTGTGGCTCGCGGTATACTGAGCTTAGGGTAACGGGAGGATGCTAGTTTGTGTCCTCCCGTTACCGTAAGGAGAACTATGGGGAAAAACACTGACCCCATAGTTCTCCTTTAATGCTAACAAGTGAAATCTATATATCTTTCTACAACTGAGGTTTCAGATACATAAATAGTAATAGTCTCATACAAAATTAGAGTATTACGTGGAGACAACCAAAATTTAGATCAAAGTGACAGGGTCCGTGAAAAGTTATAGCTATATCTCCATCGTTACCATACCGCTATAACCCGGCAAACTGGGTGCAGACACAACTGTTGGATGGCGCCAAAACAATGCATAAGAAAAATATGTCTTCAGCACACCTTCTTGCAGCATATCAGAAAAGATTGCAACGTTTCCGAAGGTCTCACTTTGCCTGATGAAAGGACCCTGCGCAGTTCTGGAACATTGCAATATTTTCTGAGATGCTGCAAGAATGTCAATAAAGAATAACTTTTGAAGCAGAAGGTGTGCTCACGACATATTTTCCTTAGTGTTTGTGAAAAGGTCCTCCAATATTATGGATACTCACCTCTCCAATGTTCCACCATCACTACCTCTCACAGGTAGCACCAAAATACCCAGAGCATTGCAGGAGATTTAACGTCAACCCCCTCTCTTAGCAGGAAATATGATGTCACCCCCCTCTTTTACAGGATGGTGCTTAGGTTTAGTAGTTCTCCGCAAAGGGCCCAGCGTTGTCACATAGTAGGAGGTCATATGCTGCCCTATACCTGGGAGTACTGAGCTAGCTAAAGTAGAGAAAGGAGGAGCAGCAGATCACTGAAAAGGTGAATCAGACACCGTCAATTTACCCTAAATGTGGCGAAGATGTAAAACCCTGTGCTGTTCTCATCAGGAAGATTTCTCTTTGCGTCTATCCTGTCTATCCTATGGGTGACAGACAGAAAAGGAATCCCCCTAGCAGAAACACAGACAGCAGTAATAAAATGAAACAGACACTAATTTTATAATTGGGAAGGTTTAAGAACTCAGTCAGGATTTTCCTGATGTCCATGTCCTCACGGGGCAAGCTCCTCTTCTCCTATAGGTGATGAATGTGTCAGACAGAGCAGCATAAGAAGAGAAATACCCTACATGAGAACACAGCCTTAAAAATCTGATAGACGTTCTTTCCGTTCTTTTTTTTTTTTGTTGGAGTTACTTTATATGTGATCTCACATACTAGATTTTAAAACTATACTGGAGGAAAAAAAAATCATTAAAACTCCTTTTTATAAAATAAATATGTCATTAACTATTTCTAGGCATAAATTAAGTTGGATACATCTAAAAGGACTTATTTCCCAAAGTGTCTGAAATAAGAACTGTCTGTTACCCCTAGATGCTCGACAAGCAGTGGTTTTTAGCAGGTCTGAATCGCAGCAGTTGCAACAAAGACTGTTCATATTGCGGACACTTCAAAGCCCAATATATACAACAGCACCTAGCTTGTGAAAGGTTTATATACAATGTTCCCATTATATACAATTAATATGTTGGTGTCTCTCTAAAAGTTCTTTCACCAGCTTTTCTAAAGAGAACAGATGCTCGTCTGCATCTTCTGGTACAAGGTCCCTGAGTGAATTGGCAAGTTCAAACAGGTATTCTGTGTTTTTTCCGCTGGGGCCGACAGCGTTAAAGATCTGCTCTGCGATGTCTTCTAAGGGAGCGGGGCCAAGGTAGTTGGGGTTATCACAGGTTCCGATATAAAGAAGAACGTTGAATGGTTTTATAGAAGGATCTTTAGGATAAAAGACAACTGTAGTAGTCCTGTAGCCGCCTTTCTCTCGAAAATCAAGGTAAGCTTTTACTTCTTCCTCCTTTCCCTCCGGCAGCCTGTAAGCAACTCCCCATACGCAACCCTGTTAAGAAGAAAAGATACAGTTAAGGTAGACCTCTCAGTGTACCTTACACATTATCATTAAAAAACAGTAATTGGGCCCAAGTCAAGTGACTCTACTTAAGCAGAGATATCATCTCCCCGCTGCATGCAGGAGGATGCATTTCTCCAGTCTCCTCTTCCACAGGGATCAGACTGGAACACTGGAACTTTGTAGTAAGTCATAAGGTTTAAAGGCTGGTTCACACCACAAAGTCTGCGTTCCAGAGCGTTCGGCCTCTGGAATAGTGCTTGCAGTATTTTTGCAGATCGCACTGGACCGGACAAATGTGCCTGCGTTCCGGGCGATCGAACTGCGGGCGGGGCTCGACTGCGGTGCCATTGACATTCAATGTCACGCCTCCTCCCGCCCCGCCATCTGTGAACACAGCCCAGAACTGTACATACACCAGATCTACAATATTGTGTCATCTCTAAGCCAGCATCTCAGGTCAAGTAAGTAGAGGCTGAGTCTGGATGATCAATCAACAAAGATAATGATGGTTTTTCCATCAATTGATTTTTTCTTTCCTGATGGCACAGTGGGCATATTCCAAAATGCCAATGCCAGGATTTATCAGGCTCAAATTGTGAGAGTGTGGTTCAGGGAGCATGATACATCATTTCACACATGGATCGGCCACCACAGAGTCCAGACCTTAGGCCTGGCTCACACCTAGAAAACAAAAAGGGAACAGAGCACCAAGGGATATACACTGAGTGGCCAGTTTATTATGACCACCTGATGTTTGTAGGCTAATTAGCTATAATTTGGCGCTGAAGTTGCTAGAGGGCCAGACCATTATAAATAGAGAAGCAGGTTGTTTACCACGACAGTAGAAGTGATTTTTTTCTGAAGATATGGGTAAACAACATGAATTAACAGCCTTTGAACGTGGGATGATTGTTGGCGCTCGGAGCCATGGAGCGAGTATCAGCAAAACAGCAGAATTTGTTAAATGTTCAAGAGGGGCTCACTGTTAAAGTGTTTAAAGACTGGACTGTCAGCCGAAAATCTGGGTCTGAACGTGCGAATTGTGGCCGTCAGCGACTAGTCAATGTTAGGGCAGAACGGAGAGTGGCAAGAGTGGTACAAGACAACAGAAGGGCAACAGTGCAGTGTCAGATTCCTCGCATCACCTTTCAACATCTCGTGGAGTCACAAGGCGGCCCAACAAAGTCATCTCGTGGAGTTATCTCGTGGCCCAACGAAGTACTGATGGGGTGGTCATAAAAATCTGGCCACTCAGTGTATGTACTCGCAAGCAAACGTCTTCATCACGCTTTAACAACAAACAAGGGGCCACACTGTCTGTCAACCCAACATGGCATTGCCCTGACTATGTATCACGGTTGCCTCCGGTCACATCACCGTCCACTGGTTGTAGTCAGCCAAGATTTTCCTGGTTTTCCAGTCTTATACCCCACTCTCAGGGAAAGCAAGCTATGATTCTGATGAAGGGGGCTTACCCCTGAAACCGGTCAATCTTGGCTGACTGCGGCCGGTGATGTGACCGGAGGCAACCGTGGTACATAGTCGGGGCGATACCATGTTGGTTTAACAGACAGTGTGGCCTCTTGTTTGTTGTTAAAGTGTGATGAAAACATTTGCTTGAGTACATATATCCCTTGTTTTATTTATTTTAATAAACGATTTTACACACGGAGGTGGAGCTCTGTTCCCTTTTGTTTTCTATGTCCGTGGTGGAAGCCCCAGAGCCTTGGATGAGCAGCCCCTCAAGTCTGTGTGAAAAACTGTGATAAACAGTTGAAAACTTTGATTATGCAACAGCAAGTGTATCGTTCAGCTGGCAGCCATTAGCGCCAAGAGTTAAAGAAAACTGTTTGTCTGGTTCACAACTAGGCGATAGCGTTTTTGCACTTTTTAACATGCGTTTGTGATGTGCATTTTTGAGCGTTTTTATGCGCATGTGGCAAAAAAAATGCGTTTTTGTGAGCAGTATGTAGCTCATTGATGTGAATGAGAAAAAGCGCATAAAACCGCATGAAAACACAGCAAACGGGCGTTTTCAAGCGTTTCCTATTCTGTCTATGGTGCCAAAACAAGCTGCAATATGCCCAAAAAAAGCTCCTGCACTTTTTCCAGCGACAGATGTGAACAGGGCCATAGAAATGAATACGATTTTTTGGGGGGCAGATTTTTGGAGTTTTTTTGGGGGGGCAGAAAAAGCTCTACAAAATGCTCAGTGTGCATCAGGACTTAACCCCATTGAAAATCTTTAAAATGTGCTGGAGAAGACTTTATACAGTGCTCCGACTCTCTCATCATCACTACAAGATCTTGGTGAAAAATTAATGCAACTCAAGGCTGTCTAATGAAATATTAGAGTGTGTGACTTTTTTTTGGCCAGGCAGTATATATAGCAATACATGCAATCTGAATGCTTGTGTTCTGTTTCCTATAGAGATTGTTTATGGAGATCATCATTACATGGAGCATTTGACATAATAGGTTCCCCGTTCAAATGTTATCTGAAGTTAAATGGACACATCAATTATTGCTGTATTCATTTATGTGGGTTTCTAAAATCTAGCAACAAAACAAGAGGAAGGCATTGCCTGAATCTGTCCCTTGTAGTGACAATTGGGGCTTAATACCTGAATAAACAAACACAGACCACACACTGGACATAGAACGGCATAATGGTCTGATAAGGACAACTTTAATGAACTGTAAAGCACACAGAAAGTGACAGAACAACCAGTGAAAACAACAATTACCCTAAGCTGCATGTGCTTGTGTTTATCAACTACTGGGCACAACATGACAGAGCTTTATTCCAGCTGGGTTTATCCTTCAATCTGGCTGTGAATTTTATTACATTTAGGAAACGGCAATATAAAAAGGTCTGTCATTTTTATTTTCTTACACATTTCAATTCGCGAGGCAGAACAGTAAAAGCATCAACCTAATTTATCAGTAGTAATGTTTTTGTGCGGTCTTATATAGGACTTTTTTTTTTACCAATGGCAGATGTTCAAATGTGCTCATTGTCATAAGGAATATTAGACTGCTGCTATTGGTTATATTCAGTCCCCATTAATGTAAATTAAATATAAAGTGATTAAATATGGCCTAAGCTGATATGAACATACACAGTGCATACAGTCAATATTTTTTTTAAATGCTTCAAAGCAGAACTCCGGGCAAATCAAATCTTAACCCTTGCAGTGGGGCTACCCGCCTACTGCAAAGTTTAAGTGCTCATTCTATCTAGGGAGCTAAAACAAAGGTATATTCACCCGAAACACAATGCTGGCTTGCTCTTAGACTGCTCCATTCAGCCTCGCTCCCCCTTCACTCCTGTGGTCTAAGGTCCTGTGAGTCATCGCATTGTAAACAGTGTATAGGTGAGGAAGCCGAGAGACATCCGATTGCTGGATTGAAGGGAGGAGACAGGCTGGAGTGAGCGGTGTATAAGAGCAAGCCGGGATCGTGGTTCGGGTGAGTATAACGGTTATTTTAGCTCCTTAGACAAAACAAGCACTCCACTGCAAGGGTTAGGATTTGATTTACCCGAAGTTCTGCTTTAAAGGAAACCTTCATAGATTAAACCATATGAGCTACCATTGCGGACATGTTTTTAAAGTGTCTATCTGGACAAAAAATACAAACAAAAACTTACCTTTGCAGTGCAGTTACCCCTGCACTGCAAGGGCTAAGTGCTTGTTTTGTGTAGGGGGCTCAAATGAGGCTGTATTACTCTCCTGATCCTTGGTGCCAACCGCTGCCTCCAGGCTGCTAGACCCGTCCCCGCTGCCTTTTCTCCCCTCTGCTCCGGCAGTCTAAGAACCACTGACGCCAATGTGTGACTTCAATGTAGAGATGGAGTTTGCCTGCCCCCTCCTTCCTCACACACATTTATATCTACCAAGGAGCCAGCCCAACATAGTAAGTAAATGGACCAATAGGCCAGTAGTGACATGGTGGCCTGCAGGAGGAACCCACTCCATTAAAACAAAAAATGGTTTACCTCTGGATCTTCCACAAGTGTGACCACTCTTCCAGGCTGCAAAAACAAAAAAAGGCAAAATAAGGATAATATATTCTAGACAAAGTGTTTATTTTTAAATCCCTGACAATTGCATTTTAAGTCACAAAACTGGATATTTACACAAACTAAATGAGGAAAGAATCTGAAAAAATGGAAACGGTCACTTCCAGCAAACCTACGATAAAGAATGTGATCCCGAAGCAGCCTGTACAGAATTCCTACCTGTCTTGTAGGTGACGAGTCAAATCTTCATTCTCTGTCAGAGCTGTTGCTATCCGACATTTCCAGGTGTGTTGGACAGAAAACAGAACCTTGAGAGCAGGAAGGATTTTTTTTTTTTTAAATTACAGAAGAGTTGTAAGATGTCTCTTCTGCAATAAAGGCGTCTTACCTTCCTCCTCCATCTGCTTTACAAAGTATACAGGGCTGCACATTACATCATTCTGCGCTGGCCAATCAAGATGTCCAAAGGCCCTGAACCTGAAAGAAGATGTTGGTGCAGGCGAGGGAGCTTGCCGACGTAAGCATCAGCAGAGTTTAGCCTTCAGTGGTCTAGTGAAGACCAGATGCTCCTGGTCCCTGCATCTTGGTAAAAGCCATTCACTACCAGCTGGCAATATGATGTACTCATTTGTCTCACCCAATCCTGTACCCGCTCTCAGATTTCTGTCTCTGCTCTGGCCTAGATTTCTACAATGCCTCACGTTATCAGGCCACTCTGCACCAGGAGTTCTCAAAACCCTTATATGCTGCAAGTAGCTCCCTGCTGCCCTGGGACAATATGGACAGTTTTGCAGTTGATGTGTAAGTTGTAAAAGGAAAAAAGTTCTCACTTGTTGCCTAGAGGTTACATCTTGCTTTGAATTCAAAGAGCGAGCTGATGGCCCAGTCGTCCCTGTACAATTACAATAATATGTGTAGAGGTTGTGCCATACTCAGTGCTTAGTCCTGTAGAATCAGCTGTTTTATTCTCACATGGCCCTCCTGACCTTTTGCTCAGAGGTGTTCTTTATCAGCAAAGCTGTGCAATGGAGAGACTTATAGCACAACTGTGTTGCTTTTCATATGCAAATACCTGGATTTAAGGTAACATAGAAATATGCATTGTTTAAAGTGACACTAAACTCAGGAGTTAAATCTTATAAATGCATTCAAGTGCCTTAAAAGGAGAACTATGGGGTGATTTACACTCCTCATAGTTAGAGCCGACCTGTGACAATGAAACTCTTACACGTCGGCTCTATTGATCGGGGAGTGAGCGAACACATACCATTGCTCGCTCAGTTCCCAATCATCTCCCTGCAAGAGCGGTGACTGTCAGCCATCGCTCCCCGCAGGAATTCCCCCCCTCCCTTCCCTGATCCTCCAGTGCTGACTGGAGGAACGGATAGGGGAGGGGGCGGGCACAGCTGGCTCTGCCTCTAGATAGGCAGAGCCAGCTGTCACTCACGCAGCTGGGTGGATCCAGGCACCATTGTCGCTGCTGTGGCGCTCTCAGTATATCACGGGCAATAGCATGCTATATAATGAGCTTTGGGTCACGGGAGGAGGTTAGTATATGTCATCCCGTGACCCTAAAGAGAACTATGGGGAAAAACACTTACCCCATAGTTCTCTTTTGACTATTACCAAAAATGTATTATTTGTGGATCACTCGGCTGTAAATCCTCAAATCATAACCGAGTTCATGCTGACACTGTCCTTCCTTCTGGAGGGTGACTACTTTTGTTCCCCATAGTCCCTGTGTGTGTGTTGTAAAGAAGCCGCCGCTCTAAGCTCACTCCTGTGATGGACTACAACGTCAATACAAATTTGTAAACTAAACATGAGATTGTAGTCCATTACGGGAGGATCTACAGCCGAGTGATACACAAATGAGATACATTCTTGTTTATAGTTAAGGCACTTGAATGTGATTCTTAAGATTTAACTCCCGAGTGTAGTGTCACTTTAACTATGAGTTGGCCATAGGTGGAGCAAAATCTATCGATACCCTGTTTCCCCCGAAAATAAGACCTAGTACCATTTTTGGGAATTGCTAAAATATAAGACCTACCACGAAAATAAGACCTAGATGTGACCATTCCTGGGGCCGGTGGTGGCATAAGGGGAAACTTGAAGAGCCGCAGGAGAGAATCAGCGGTGCCAACGAAGCGAGCGCTAGAGGAAGCGAGGCGGCAGCATAGGGAGCAGAGACGCATAAGCTGATGCCTCCTCTATAGACCCGGCTCTTGTCACAGGCGGAGTGATACCAAATGCACTCCGCCTGTGAGGAATCTATAGTAAACGTGCGCTTCGCTCATTCTGGTTACCAAATTACTCTTGCAAAGGTACGGCACCCCTGATTGCCCTTATCACCCTTTTCTTAACTTTGCCATTTTGGATTATTTAATTTGTATTTGCATTAACTTTGAAATTTTATAAATAATATAAAAAAAAAAATAAGACCTAGTGTGTTTTTTTGAGCCCAAAAAAATATAAGACAGTGTCTTATTTTCGGAGAAACACGGTACTTGCTCCCATCCATGTTACTGAATGTCCATACTGAGATACAGACATGGGGGGAGGGGGGGGGCAGGGAGAGAGTCTGCAGGAGCCAGGGCATAGCCCCACGATCCATTGATCGTGTTTGCAATGCTTTACTGGCTCCAATGCAAAAAAAACAAGAAAACAAATTCACATTTTTCTTTTATAAAGAAGCGTGCATTTATAATTTTTTTTCTAAAAGGTAGAATTTGCTTTCAAGGCTTTAGAGACCAGTTGCTGAATTATTTTTTAAATATTTGTCTATTCTAAGGCTCTGCTTATAAAACTTAAGATAAAAAATGTCTGTGTCTATGACGTCTAAAGGCCCTAAAAAGGTTCACATTCAGTACTAGGACACCGGGATATATTAACTGTTGCAGTACGCACATTTGACAAAGAGGGAAAACAGAACAGCTCCACACATATTGCAGTGATGTGTTAGGCGCTGGAGGGTTCTGTAAGCTATTGTTTACATACAGCATTCATATCACTGTTAGACTGTTCAAAGCACACACTGCTGTAACGACAGAAGTTCCTTTACAGGGTTCAATGGAGGCCGGTGAACGAGAACACAATACAAGACATACACACAAAAATACTGTGCGATAGTTTGTAAAAGCAGAGCACTATGGTGAACACGCTACATCTGATATTATTCAGTAATAGTATTCTAAACCATCAAATAAAATAAAAGACATACAAGCAGAGATTACACCAATTAAACAGGAAGTTGCATCATTATTTTTATATTCTTTGTGCTCAATACAAATACTGTATACAAGAAACCACTCATGATATGATTACATGAGGCTTGGAATAGATCCCTGTTGCCGGATGCATGATAGATGCGTCCAACACAGTCCTCTATTCCAAACCACAGATAATGATATCAGATAAGATTACATGCAGGCTGCCACTTACAGATGCAGCCGCTGTCACCCCATCATTTATTTGAACAAGCCGCATTTGAATGGTGGACACCTGGGATTCTTGCTGCGAGAATCCGTAGATTTCCGAGGAAGGAATCCCAGGTCACCCCGTGTAAATGAGGCCTTAGGATCTCTTTCACCCCTAGGCATATGCAGCAATGTATGTGTTTGGGCAGAATACTTATTGCATCAAAGACTGCTGATACAAGCCTTTTTTTTTGTGCATTCACCGTTTTATTTCCATGGGTCTGTAAATGCACAAAAATTCAGCATGTCCCATATTTTAAAAAAACACACTAAACTGCAGTGCAAAGATGTAAACGCAGCACAAAGGTATGCAATTCTACTTGCATTGAAGTTGCTTACAGTAACGCAAATGTTTTACTGCAGGATGGTGAAGTAGGAAAAGGCCTTGGAATGCAACTGTGGCTAGGCGAGACATTCAAATATTTACATATTATTAGCCAGCAGTAAAAGGTTTAAAGTCCTAACAGACCACTGTAGCTGCAGGCATTGCAGAGCAATTCATCCTTAAAGGAAACTCCACCATCATTAATCAAAATGAATATAGCATATAAAATTGCTGAACTCCAGGTATAAAAAAGTTATGTATACTTACATTGGTTCAGCTTGGCCCAATGTAACTATACATATTTTATACCTGGGGTGGGGCCACAAGATTCCTGTAAAGCACTGTAGTAGCCAACATTACTTTATAGTGATCTTCCAGGTCCTGTACCGCCACTGTGCTGAGCGACTTCCACACAAGGGGCACTCGCTTGGAACAGCGGCAATTCAGAGAACGCCTAGTATTTTTATCAGTGAATTTTAGGCGTTTTCTGATTGGACAAGGGGTGATTCGAGGATGTCAATGCCCCTTGTCCAATCATAGAACGCCTAGTGTTCATAGATAAAAATTATGAGGCGTTTGCTGAATAGTCACTGTGCTGAGCAAGTGCCCCCTATATTTTCACAGCAGAGGGGATGCCTGTAGATGGGCTTTAAAAGGTGGTTTGCTAAGCTGACCATATACTAAAGTTTAAAGATGATCATGCACTATTTTTTGCAATCGCACCAGACCACAGGCATTGCTGTACCACACATTCTGGGGCAGGTGTGTCTGTGGTGCCATCGATATGATTGGCTTAATCATGCCTTTTCCCGCACCGGAACGTGGAAGGCTCAAATTATATGATCCAGTGTGTCCCGGCCATTAATCGAGCCGGAAAGCACTGGATGTGGTGTGAACCGGCCCTCAAGGAGAACTCCACTTTCTGACCACGTTTTATTACACCCATTTCGGGGCTGGATTTCTACGGCACGCATGGGTAATGTATTTGTTCCCTCTGTAGCAATACAAACTCCAACTGCAATGAACATGTATGGTTGCGAGCACAGGAACTTCCAGTCACTTTTGGGAACAAATATTTTTGGCATTGATCAGTCATAGCAAATGTCCGTACTAAATACTGTTAGATTTTGTGTAGCTCCAATGCAGGACAGGGCAACTCTGGCCCTCCAGTTGTTGTGGAACTACAAGTCCCATGAGACTTTGCAAGACTGACCGTTACAGGTATGACTGAGGCATGTTGGGAATTGTAGCTAAAGCACAGCTGGAGGGCCAAAGTTGCCCACCCCTGCTCTAACATCATCCTTATAGCAAATATGGGATGAGCACACTCCGGCTACAAACCTGTTTTTCCTATTTTAGGAAAGCCTTTGCTGAGTCATCCCAAGACTGCCACATCTATACATTGGACAACCTTCAGGTGTAACATTTCACTCTGTGTTAGTCATCCAGTCACAATGATTTGACACTTTTTACACTTCTTCAGTCTCTGAGAAATGTGCAGAGTGTATACTGAATAGAAATAAAATATTCTCATTATTAATATTCTCATTATTGCAGACTCCAAGACCAGCACCTGCAGCCTCTTCCCCTCCACTCCGGTGGTCGGAGGCCCGCTAACGTTGTTGCGTACAATGCAAAACCCATTGCCTTGCATCATACGCGAGGACGCCGAGGGACAGTCTACAAGCTAAAGCGGAGAGAGCTGTGCACCAACTGTCGAGGATTAGGGGATCAGGTAAGTAAAAGTTCTTTACACAATACCCCTAGACCAGTCTTTCTCAACCAGGATGCGACCTCAGGAGTGCCCCAAAATGTTGTGGTAGTGGGACTGAGATATGAAGGGGAATGTAGACTGAGATGAAGGGAGCTCCTAATGTAAAGGGTGAACTCTAATGTGAAAGGGGGGCTCCTGATGTGAAGGGGAAAATCCACTGTGTGTTTTCACCTGGGCTCCCTCTTAAAAACTATGACATTTTGGATTAGGATGCCTCAAAGATTTAGCATACTTTTAAAGGGTGCTGCAACTCAGAAAAGGTTGAGAAATGCTGCCCTAGACAATGTCGCGCAGTTAACCCTTGCAGTTTTGGGGATAACCCCTCTGCTACTGCCTGTAGTAAAAACAGTGCTGACAGTCAAGTACTTGTATTTGGTCTTGTTCACACCTGCATGCTACAACACAGAATTTTGCAAGTGAACTGGTGTGCTGAGGGAGATCATGCGGGGGGCCTTTGGTGATGCAGATTTTCAGTGCATCACACAATTTACTTTATTTTTCTTCACTTTATTTGGAGTGTATAAAGTGTACACTCCATTCCGTTCTCCACACAGCAGACCGGTGTGCTGCATTCCAGTGATGTCCAGTGCACTGCAGTGTGAATGGGGCACACCGCTAATGGTGTGAACAACGCTTGGCCTGTGATCCTTGTGTCTCAGTGGAGCCCATGTCAAGATTAAAGGTGTATCTAAAGCAGAGTGGTGAGGGATTAGAAACCATGCCAAGTACATACTGCTGTCTCTGCCCTGATAGGGTGAGTCACTATTTGTTCTGGTGACGAATTTGAATTGTTACCAGAGCAAGAAGAGAAAGGCAACTCCGAGGACACTTGTTCTAGTGACAACTGTCTTAAAAGGGGATTGTCCTCACTTTGGAGAGATTATTCCTGTTATGTGGCCTTGATGAGCACATACTGCCTCCCATCATACACTCTGCAATCCTCCCCTGTACATACTGCCTCCCATCATACACTCTGCACTCCTCCCCTGTACATACTGCCTCCCATCATACACTCTGCACTCCTCCCCTGTACATACTGCCTCCCCTCCTCCCCTGTACATACTGCCTTCCATCATACCCTCTGCACTCCTCCCCCGTACATACTCCCTGCACTCCTCCCCTGTACATACTGCCTCCCATTCTACACTCTGCACTCCTCCCCTGTACATACTGCCTTCCATCATACCCTCTGCACTCCTCCCCTGTACATACTGCCTCCCATCATACCCTCTGCACTCCTCTCCTGTACATACTGCCTCCCATCATACACTCTGCACTCTTCCCCTGTACATACTGCCTCCCATCCTACACTCTGCACTCCTCCCCTGTACATACTGCCTCCCATCATACCCTCTGCACTCCTCTCCTGTACATACTGCCTCCCATCATACACTCTGCACTCTTCCCCTGTACATACTGCCTCCCATCCTACACTCTGCACTCCTCCCCTGTACATACTGCCTCCCATCATACCCTCTGCACTCCTCTCCTGTACATACTGCCTCCCATCATACACTCTGCACTCTTCCCCTGTACATACTGCCTCCCATCCTACACTCTGCACTCCTCCCCTGTACATACTGCCTCCCATCATACCCTCTGCACTCCTCTCCTGTACATACTGCCTCCCATCATACACTCTGCACTCTTCCCCTGTACATACTGCCTCCCATCCTACACTCTGCACTCCTCCCCTGTACATACTGCCTCCCATCATACCCTCTGCACTCCTCTCCTGTACATACTGCCTCCCATCATACACTCTGCACTCTTCCCCTGTACATACTGCCTCCCATCCTACACTCTGCACTCCTCCCCTGTACATACTGCCTCCCATCATACCCTCTGCACTCCTCTCCTGTACATACTGCCTCCCATCATACACTCTGCACTCTTCCCCTGTACATACTGCCTCCCATCCTACACTCTGCACTCCTCCCCTGTACATACTGCCTCCCATCATACCCTCTGCACTCCTCTCCTGTACATACTGCCTCCCATCATACACTCTGCACTCTTCCCCTGTACATACTGCCTCCCATCCTACACTCTGCACTCCTCCCCTGTACATACTGCCTCCCATCATACCCTCTGCACTCCTCTCCTGTACATACTGCCTCCCATCATACACTCTGCACTCTTCCCCTGTACATACTGCCTCCCATCCTACACTCTGCACTCCTCCCCTGTACATACTGCCTCCCATCATACCCTCTGCACTCCTCTCCTGTACATACTGCCTCCCATCATACACTCTGCACTCTTCCCCTGTACATACTGCCTCCCATCCTACACTCTGCACTCCTCCCCTGTACATACTGCCTCCCATCATACCCTCTGCACTCCTCTCCTGTACATACTGCCTCCCATCATACACTCTGCACTCTTCCCCTGTACATACTGCCTCCCATCCTACACTCTGCACTCCTCCCCTGTACATACTGCCTCCCATCATACCCTCTGCACTCCTCTCCTGTACATACTGCCTCCCATCATACACTCTGCACTCTTCCCCTGTACATACTGCCTCCCATCCTACACTCTGCACTCCTCCCCTGTACATACTGCCTCCCATCATACCCTCTGCACTCCTCTCCTGTACATACTGCCTCCCATCATACACTCTGCACTCTTCCCCTGTACATACTGCCTCCCATCCTACACTCTGCACTCCTCCCCTGTACATACTGCCTCCCATCATACCCTCTGCACTCCTCTCCTGTACATACTGCCTCCCATCATACACTCTGCACTCTTCCCCTGTACATACTGCCTCCCATCCTACACTCTGCACTCCTCCCCTGTACATACTGCCTCCCATCATACCCTCTGCACTCCTCTCCTGTACATACTGCCTCCCATCATACACTCTGCACTCTTCCCCTGTACATACTGCCTCCCATCCTACACTCTGCACTCCTCCCCTGTACATACTGCCTCCCATCATACCCTCTGCACTCCTCTCCTGTACATACTGCCTCCCATCATACACTCTGCACTCTTCCCCTGTACAAACTGCCTCCCATCATACACGAATGAAGGTCCATTCTCCTGCATTAAAAAAGAGAATGCCGAGGGACATTCCACAGCCGGAGTGAAAATAGTGAGAGGTGAGCACTGACTGCCACAGGACCAGGGGTCAGGTGAGTATATCTTTTGTATTCTGGCCCCTAGACCCCCCCCCCCCCCAAAAAAAAACACAAGCAGTTAACCCTCTGCAAGGGTTAATTTTGTTAATAGCTGGAGTTCCTCTGAAGACTAAAAAATGGGAGCAGCCATCGATTTTAAAGGCCCTTCTTCCTTGTTTCAATGCCCAGATTGTCTAAGTCTGGGACAATGGCAATAACAGCAAGTTTTCCAAAATGTTAAGCACTGCCTGTATGCTTTAGTCCTACCGGTATTACCTGCCTGGGATTGCTGTAGACTCAGATCGCAAAGTTCTCTGCAGAAAATGACAGTATCCTTCATATCTGTTTAACATGACTCACAAATCCACATACAGTCATTTAGATCTTGTAGTCTATGTCCAGCTTTGGTCACTGATGTTCCTCATGCATTGGTACAGGTCACACACACAGCCACAATGAGGCCAGGTGTAGGAAGAACAGAGCCCATGGAACTGCAAAGAGCAGCCAGGGTCAACATGACAATGGCCCCCGTCACCCTGCTGACAACAGAGACTGATGTTCCGTTTCGCCAACATTTGGAAATCATTTCCAGGGACATTGTGAGCTGGTGTTTCTAAGCTCATTCTACCTGATGGCTGATGTGGGGAGAAGATCATGAAGGTGCGGGTCTTCTGATCTGTGACTAAGGAAAAGCAGACCCGGGCTTCCTATTGAGAGATTTCCTAGGCCATGATTAGAGTCACAGAGCAGTAACGTTGGTTAATTGCTACTGCCAGAGATACCATCATGATCAGTGAGGTGTTTCTCTGACTAATCTCTCTGGAATGAAGACAGAAGTGATGTGGCTCTGTGTCAACGCCCAACAAGCAGGACAAATGTGAACACAAAGATGACAAGGTTACATTGAATGGCCCATTAAAAGGGAAAATAAACTGCAATATTCACCTTGAGTCCAGAGATTTCCACTGCAGTATATTGTTTCTGTTGCTTAGTGTCCTCAGTCTAATGGCCAGCAGTGTTCAACCCACTTCTGAGCCCAGATCGTCCTGGTCCCTCTCCAGTCTGTGACTGGACAGTGAAAGGAGAAGTAGCACAATGATTAGCTCACCCGTCTGTCACTCTGTTTTCTCTTCCTAACATGCTTCTTGTCAACACATAACTTAATTGGTTCCTTGTGCTGCTTCTTCCTCTCACTCTCCAGTCCTGCTGTACAGGAACTACAAGAGGCCGATACCAAGTCAGCATGATGTACTTAAACTGCTTCTATTTTAACGATACATTTAATTATTTATTAAGAATTGCAGCGCTGCATTTATTTGTGTAATAGCTTTAAAGAAACATCTGGTCTTCTTCAAAGGTTCATCATCCTCAGCCATGATGATGTAACTCCTGTGCATGCACATGGGAATTAATTCATAGTGACACCAATGGATGCTGAGAGTATACGCAGAGCTGCACTAAGCGCACTGTACATTCTAGAGAAACCTGTGAACGGGGAAGGTAAGAAGAGACAAAGTACCGCTCTTCTGCAATAAAAAGCCTTCCTGTTCCCATTCTTTATTTAACTATAGTTCTACTTTAAAGGAAAAGGTGTGGTTGTGATGCTGATCCACTGGCTTTAGGCCCAACTCCATGTATTCCCATCCTCTCCTGCCACTACATTAGAAACAAGAGAATGGGCAGCATGGTGGTATAGTGGTTAGCGCTTCTGCCTTGCAGCACTGGGTCCCAGGTTCAAATCCCGGCCAGGCCACTATTTGCAAAGGAGTTTGCATGTTCTGCCTTCCTCCCACACTCCAAAGACACGCTAGCTAGGTTAGCTGGCTCCTGTCTGGCCCTCATATGTATGCATGTGAGATAGGGACCTATGTCTCTTCTGAAACAAAACAAACTTACCTTCTTCAGAATGTGCACTGAGCTACATTCTTGGCACGCCTCTGTGCCAGGATGAATGAATGAACTCAGTGCGCATGTGCAGAATTTACATTTATCCCCCAATGGCCAATGAAGACGGCTGAAAGAACCTGGGGAGAAGATGTAGGCACCTGCAAGGGCGGCGAGTCGAGCTTCACATTAAAAAAATAAAAAACTACCGTATATTTACCTTAATTCCAATTAACTTCTAGTGGTCACATGATCAGCAAGATCCTTCCTTTTCTTGTCTGGTGGTGGAAGTGGGCAGTCCTTACCATTGGACAGTGTAATGACACAGCCCAAGGAGGTGGGTCTGTGACGCTCTGGGCTCACAGGAAGTGGGTTCAACTAGGGATGCACAGATAGCGGTCTTTCAAAATCGAGAGTGCCAATATCTTTTTTTTGTCGGTACTCGCCGATACCGATCTCATTAAGGAAGCCGGCCGGCGTGTAATGACTCACCGTTTAGCTTCCTGATTATCCAGGAAGCCAGGCAGCATGTAATGACTCGCTGCCCGGTTTCCCAATTAGCGGGAAGCTAAAAATCAGGTGACGAGGCAGCATGGAGACGGTTTTCTGGCCAATCAGGAAGCCAGGGGGCGGGTAATGACTCATCGCCTGGCTTCCTGATTGGCCGGAAAGCCTGATAAATGAGGAAGTTGGGGGGGGGGGGGGGGGGAGTCATTACCCGCCTCCCTGATTGGCTGAGAACCAGCTTTATGTTCCCTGGTGATGAGGGAGCATGGAGCCGGAAGGGAAGAAGACAGTGTAATGCTTTGGGCAATGTTCTGGTGGGAAACACTGGGTTTGTCTGTAATGACTCGCCGCCCGGCTTCTTGATACCCGAGGTTCCGGTATCGGGATAGGCATTGGGAGCATTTGGCCGAGTATAAGTACTTGCACAAATACTCAGTATAGGTGTATCCCTAGGTTCAATTATGATCAGTGTCATTCAACCCAGAAGAGGGACGATGGTGGACGGCAGAGGGGTGAGTATGACATATTAAGCGGCTAGTGTCTGTGTCACCTTTTTACCCCGCTGGTTATTTATTCTTTTACACCGGTGAATATTTTTTATTTTTTTTAAGTGTTTTAAAGCTATTTCAGAGTCTGATCAAATCACTTACAATGGATGCTTGTCTTTGATGTTTAAAGTTTTAGTTTCCTGCAGAATCAGCTGATCCCCGAGTACTGGTCCTGATATTCAGTATTAGGGTGGCTCCTTTCCCTTGCAGGGTCCTATGCAGCCACCCTTGTGTGTGCTAGTAAGCTGTGAATATCTCTACAAACACACAGGCACAGCAAGGTAAGTCACTTCCCTGCTCCCCACTCCTCCCCCCTGCCTTCTCCATGCTAGTAGATGGACAGCTGCTGGAGTCTGCTCTGTCCCTTGTGATCTTGTACAAGGCAGGAAGTTCAGGGAAGCTGAGCTGGGAGAGTTGGAGCTGTTCAGAAACATGATGACTAAGTGCTTGGGCAAAAATGTAAAGAAAGAAAATGTAAACAGAGTTTAATACTGCTTTAAGGCAAACATAACACAACTACAGCCAAAACAACAATTTCTGGTAACTGTTAAAACACAAGGTAATGTTGGTTACTGCAACACACCTGACCTATGCACTGTGAATGGCACCCCAATTCAATGAAAAGTAGAGCCCACCGCGGCGCACCACGAGGTATATACCAGGTGCTGCATTTTAAAAAAAACGATCATGCGTATTTTTGCGCATCACAAATGGGCTGCCCTGACGCAACACACATTAACACATGTGCATTAATGCACCGCACAGGCCCTTAGAACTCCCATATGCCACACTTCAGGAGTTTTAGGGGTGATGAAGAATTGTTTGTAATTTAGGAAGAAGGACCCCCATCCCAGACTGGATACATTTAGGAAGAAGGACCCCCCCTCCCCCAGGCTGGATACATTTAGGAAGAAGGACCCCCCTCCCAGGCTGGATACATTTAGGAAGAAGGACCCCCCCATCCCAGGCTGGATACATTTAGGAAGAAGGACCCACCCCTCTTCTTTAACAGCTGGTAAGGATCTCATTGATTCGATAAGGAGAGGAATGACACACACAGATCTCACCTTGCCCGGGACCCCCCGGTGGTCGGTGCTGCCTTGCCAGAACCTCCGGCTGTAGCAGGTGATGTAGCCCACCAGCTTCTCCTCGTAGGGGAAGTCCACCTTCCAGATGAGCGAGCCATAGCCGAACACCCACATGATGACAGCCGGCCGCTACAAGCCGCAATGAGCAGACTCCAGACTCAGCTGTCACGAAGCCCCGCCCCCGCCTCGTCCTCATAGGACGCATCACGCCGAACATCATGGGAAATGTAGTGAAAACTTGTGTTACGAGTTCAGAGGGGCACTCTTTTTTTTTTAATGAACTTTATGCATAGGAAAAATTATTGACAGCGAGCAATGGCTGTTGCGGGAATAATGAACAGAACAGCAGTGGGTGAATGACTGATACAGCAAGAACGAGGAGGGGCGGGGCGTTTTACGGTGGCAGGCGTGGTCTGATTGGCCACGCGATTCACGGGATGTGAAGCGGCGCGGGATAGTGAGCAGTCCGTGGACATCTTCTTACAGGTGACGTCAGAGCTACTGCACATAACAATAAACAGCCGCACTGGGCCGGTGGGGGTAGTCTGAGCAATGTGATTGGCCTATAGCTGTGATCGCCAACCTACCCGTTGTTGTCAAAGGATACCTGTCATGAGAGAACCAATGTTGGCTGCCATTGCTTGTGAAAATGCTAATTGCCTGGCTGCTGTGCTGATGCATTGGCTGCAGTGCTTCCTGATTTAGGTCATGTTCACACCATATCCGGATCAGATCTGCAAACACAGTGCAGTGCGTTTTTTGCTGTAATTGTGCCACGTTCCGGTGCCTTTTTTAGCTTAAAATGTGCTTTCAGGCAGCGGCGTCCCGAGGCTGGGTGTCACCCGAAGCAGAGACCGAGTGACACCCCTCCGTGACGTCGTCGCGCATGCACGTGACGTTGCCGCGCTCATGCGTGATGACATCATCGCGCATGCGCGGCCGCCTTATTGACCCCTGCCAGGGGCCATCTTGGTGGTGGACGCCAGCAGAGAGGGGATGGGATGAGGTATGCTGCCGGGTCCCCTCCTCTCTCCTGACACTGTCGGGCTTTCGGTCCGTGACCGAGTGCCCGACTTTTCATAGGGGGTGACATCAAAATGACTGTCAGTTATTTTGGTGTCACCCCTCCAATGGTGGCACCAGGGTGCGGGCCGCACCCCCCTTGTGACGCCATTGCTTTCAGGTGCAGTCCAGTGCATTTGCATGCATTTTTGATGTGTTTACACGCGTTCCGGACCAGAGAAAATGAGACATGAAGTATTATTTTTTGTCTGGACCAGGACGGGCTGCGCTGGTGTGAACAGATACATTGGGATGTTTTTTTGATCTGGGAAGAAACTGTTCTGGCCTGGACATGATCCGAACATGGTTAGAACAAGCCCTTACTGGTCCGTGACCAATATATAGATAAAGAATTCTGATTCTCTAAGATTTAATCTCGGGGCCTGTTCATAGGGATGTGTTGGGCTGCACTGGGCACACTGACAGAGCAATTAACCTTGTTTACTATGAAGTCAGAACACATCACCTGTTTTTTTTGTGTGTATTTTTGTATGTAGCAGCACAATGCACTGATGGGGTGAGCAGAACTGAATGAAATGCCGATTTGTATCGTTTCAATAAAGTTAAAAAAAAGTAAACGAAGTTGCCCTGAAATCAGCGCACTGCACCACTTCCCGTACAGCAGCCGCACGCTAGTGCATGCTGCTGGGGTGAACTGACCCTCAAAGGGCATTGATGCCAGGCAACAAGAGGATGTACACAATGGCAAACCGCCTCACTCATGAGAAGGTCACTTTAAATCCTAAAACCTGGGAACCATTAAAGTGGAGTTGCAGGAATGATCTTATATGAACACATACACTGGTCCAGCTCAGCTCAATGTCAGTATCCATATCTGATATCCGGAGAGGAGCCACTGGGGATGCTTTAAATCACTTTATTAGTCCGTACTACATACAGCCAGGCTGCGGCTTCTCCTCTGAACACTGAGTCATGCCCTGGACACCGCCGCCATTAAGATGACCCTTTGTATTTTCTTCAATGAAGACACGGCTTGCTGTGATTGGATGGGGTGGAGAGGAGGGGCGGATGATGTCACAATCTCCATCTTCTCCAATCAAATAACACCTTGTATTCATAAAAAATGCAAAGGGGTTAATCTGCAAACCCCTGGATGGATGCCGCTTGCTGTAGTACCCCTAGCGAGCGCTGACGAGTGTAGGAAATTGCGCTATGTGTGATCACCATGTATGGGTGCTAGTGCCATGTGAATGGTGGGGGTAGTTTTGTAAATGAAGCCCAAGCTGTTCAGGTGTTCTCTGAATGGCGGTGGTGCCGAGCGAACGACTCCGTGTTCAGTGTAAAGTGGAGAAGCTTCTGGAGCCGTACCTGGAAGATCACGGCTATCACTGTATGTAGTGCGGACATCCTCTTCCAGATATGGATACTTACCCTGAGCCACGCAAAGCCAATGTAGATATCCATATCAGATCATTACTGGAATTCTGATATATTGCAGCTTACCAGTGCTTAGATGATGCAGCTGTATTCATTTTTTCCGTGTTTTTTTTTTTCTTTCTTTTTCCTCTGGGATTTGTCCACTTCCTGCCTTGCGCTGGGCAGATCGTGCGGTTTCCCGCTGTGATTCTGAACACGATCATGGCTAAAACAGCCGCACGTCGTGTATCGCAGAAAAAAGGGAAGCCGCGTGATCCGCCCGGCGCAACTGGGGCGCCATTGGAAAATACTGGCACCCAGAGCGCGATCAGTGCACACCTATACGACTCCTGACCGCGTGGCAATCCGCACGGAATCGTGCACGATTGCCATGCGTTGGGGTGTCGCATAGGTGTGTGCACTGGCCCTAAATGTGAGATTGTAGTCCATCACAGGAGTGAGCTTGGAGCGATGGCTACTGTACACACCCATGGGGAACAAAAGCAGCCCCCCTCCAGAAGGAAGTACAGTATCGGCACCAATTTAGAGATGATTTGAGGATCTACAGAGGAGTGATACACAAATAAGATACATTTTCGTTAAATCGGACCTTTACCCATGTCTTTAAAATAACAACATACACACCTTTTACAAATGTTTAGTAGGGGCGTGGCCAAGCAATGGAGCCGTAGAGACGTGTGTGTGCTGAGCTCTGCTCCCTAATCTACCTTTTACCGCTCACTGACGGCAGTTTACTCCCGCTACTCTACATGTACGGCACCCGGAGGTCCCGCAGATCAACCACGAAGACCACCCGGAGGACCATACCTGGTTACTTCTCCCCCGCGACCACGAGATCCCAGGCGGCCGCTCCAGCGCACATGGAGTTAATCGGCCATCTTGCTTTCCACGGGACGCGTCTTCCCCGACAGAGCCTGGCGGCGCCGGCTACAGCCCTCTCGCCCGCGGAGTCCTCAGCGTCTGACCACTCACCCATTCGGTCGCCGAGATTGCTGGTCTCAACCCCGCAACATGCAGATGACGTCCCGCAGATATCTCCGGCCTTGACCGCCCTGCTCCGTGATGACATCCGGGTGCTCCTGCAGTCTCTGGCCACGAAGGAGGACGTGAATCGCCTCGCTCAACAGGTAGAGGGGACTCTGCGCAGGGAAATAGAGGGGGTAGCCCAGGCGATCACTGGCCTGGAGACCAGGGTGACTGAGACTGAAACTACGCATAGAGACCTGCTGACACGTGTCACTGCCCTAGAAACGACCACCGCGGCCCACACCAAGGCCTATGCCCTGCTATATTTGAAACTGGACGATGGCGAGAACTGGAATCGGCGGAATAATGTCCGCTTAAGAGGGATCCCAGAATCTACTACAGGGGGTGACTTGAGAGCGTCAGTCCAAGCCATCCTTAACCACCTGCTGGACCGTGACCCCTCGACGCTCATCGAAATGGACAGGGTACACAGAGTCAACGGCTCAGGAGGCCCGGATCGCGCACGTCCCAGGGATGTACTATGCCGGGTACATTTCTATGTTCAAAAAGAGGCCATCATGCGGCAAGCCTGGGCCAAGAAAACAGTGGACTTTGATGGGGCAGAGGTCACAATCTTACCGGATTTGTCCAGGCACACTCTACCTCAGACGCCTGATACGCCCGCTGCTCACACATATCACTGAGAATGGGGCGACTTACAAATGGGGTCACCCCTTCCACCTTCAAGTACAGAAAGCCGGGACGACATTTCTTCTGATGACCCCTGAGCAACTCCCTGAGTTATTTGATTTTCTGGGTACAGATCCCATAGAGGTCCCGGATTGGCTCCTTTCTCCTGAGGCCTCCAGGCCTAATCTACCAACAGCCCCCCGACCCCAGAGGCTTCGCAGAGGACGCTCTCGCTATCGGGACAGGGGTGACCGGCCCAGGGACCCAGCGTCTCACGAGGACTGAGAAAGCACCGACTAGCCCATGTCACTGGCTACTTATTTGGGTTTTTTTTTTTTAATTCCCACCATAACGGGGCGCGATGGTACTCTCCTCTCTAGCTCCAAGGCCATAGCTGAGCGATTCAGAGACTTCTTCGCTGAACTCTATAATCTTGAGAGCCCGGGGACCCCAGATTCCATCTCAAGACGCATCGCCAAAACCCAAACCTATCTTGAACAGACGAATCTGCCCTGCATATCCCATGAGGAAGCGGCGGGCCTAGAGTCACCCATCACCGCAGTTGAATGGTCCGCTTCACACATCACTTACCTAGGGACGAAACTACCCGCATCAGTCGCCAGGGTTTTTGAACTTAACTTCCCACCGCTGCTATCCGAACTTAAACGCGATCTCTCCAAGTGGTCGGGTCTTACCATCTCTTGGTTCGGGAGGAACAGCGTATTGAAAATGAATATTCTCCCACGATTACTCTACCTGTTCCAAACCCTACCAGTACACATCCCCATGTCATTTATGAAGTTAATTCCGGAGAGAGTTCACCTCCTTCCTGTGGGCGAATGGTGCCCATAGACTTAACAAGTTCCTACTGACACTGCCCAAATCTAGAGGGGGGATCGGTTTCCCAGACCCCATTCGATATCACCTGGCCGTGCATATGGCCTGTGCATTCGAATGGTGCAATGTGACTTCAGACAAACGCTGGCTACAATTTGAACAGGCAGTCTCCCCTTTACCGTTGACAGGACTGCTCTGGATCACGTCGCCCCTGCCCAGGGAAATATTACAGCACCCACTTACAGGTGTCACGATACGAGTGCTTAAGAAGACACCCGCGTTACTCCCAGATAGCAACTCGCACTCTATCATGTCGCCAATTGTAGGTGACCCGGCCTTCGCTCCCAGTCTCACCGACTGCTCCTTCATGCACTTAGTGGAAGCTAATCGCTTCCGGATTGGGCATTTCCAACCCATCGAGGATTTCACCAACCTAGACTCAAATTAGGGGCTTACTCGATCCTCCACTGCTGCGTTGGCAGGCCCTGCAACTCCGCAGCTATCTTTCTAGACTTAACATGTCCCCCCCTCCAATACAGTACTGACACCATTTGAAGACGTCTGCATGGCAGGTAGTTATGTGGAACACGGCTTGTCCAAGGCATACGCCCTCACGACGCTGCCAGCTGACCAGACTGAACCTAACATTTTGACTAAGTGGGAAAGAGACCTAGACACTACGTTCACCCAAGACCAAAGGGATTACATACTTCACTTTGCGCGCAAGGCCTCGATGGCTAGTTCCATACAGGAGACAGGCTACAAACTGCTCACCAGATGGTATTATGTCCCAACCAAGCTCCACAAAATGTTTCCTCAGACTCCTCCGACATGTTGGAGATGTGGACAGGAGGAGGGGTCCATTCTCCATGTGTTCTGGTCCTTTCGAGGCCTCTGGGAGTTTTGGGATGCAGTCCTTCGGATAATTCACCAACTCACAGGAATGTCTCTAGTGGGGGATCCAGCTGCGCTGCTGCTCCACTTGTCTCCACTGCCCAGGGCCCGATACCACAAATCACTGCTGATACACCTGATTAACGCAGCTAGAGCCTGTGTGCCGCTGTGTTGGAAAAGTTCCACTCCACCCTCAGTGAAGATGTGGCTTCGTAAGGTAGATGAAATTCGAGTGATGGAGGAAATGACTGCTTCCCTACATCACAGAGACAGGCCATTCTGCAAAAATTGGTTTTACTGGCTTGAGTTCCTCTATTCTCCAGAATATGGTGGGCTAATGGTGGAGTGACACATCATACCATAGTCGGGGATCACACCATTAACGAGAACTTAGAGACCTGCAACCACCCTACTGACCGCCACAGGCATCCACGACGCACCCTTACGGTCCACGTGGACCTAGACGGGTCGATGTCTGAGAGCTCCACATTCCTAACCCGGATCTGGGCTCTTCTGCTCCCCCTTTCTTATACCTGCTTTCTTCCTCATACTGTAGCTCTTATTGAGGGCTATTATACCCACTTTTATTCTTAGCTCAAACCTCCCACACCACCCTCCTTCCCCCTCCCTTACCTCCCTCTCTTCTTATACCCAGCCCACTTTATTCCCTTCCCCCCTCCCCCCACCTACACCCTTTACTCTCCCGTGTATGAATGAATACCAGTGTAGCAATGTTTATCAACTATTGAGCCTGATCATGGTGTGCGCAGATTAAACCCCGCAGACCCAGGCTCGCAGTAGGGCACCAACTGACCGGCCAATCTTATCTTATGCTACCTACTGAGTGCAGGAACCGAGATACGCTTGCACAATTTGTATATATACTCATGCAATGGAGAAAATTCTGTTTTAAATTCCGTTTTGTATGTTATTGTACCTCTTTCTTTTTGTTATATGCAAAACTCAAAATAAAGAATAAAAAAAAAAAAAAGAAATGTTTAGTAATGACAACCGACAAACACATTCCTCCTAGTAGCAGGCTTTGTATTGCATACCTTGTTTCTCTTTTCTTTCCCAGTCTTCTGACAGTGGCCATTTTTGCTAAGGGCAGATTACTAGATCTCCCTTTACTTCCTGGAACTCTTGCATACAGTATGTGACTAGGACATGTGACCATGCACATTATCTCAGAGAAGGAAAATGCCTTTCCCTGAGATTTCATGAGACTACAGATGAGATTTTTCAGCAATGCTCTGCTGATGTAACCTTCCCACGATGCAACACTTGGACACAATACATAATTTGTGCCAGAAGTGGACCAGCAAGTAGATGAACTCTACTTGTAAGAAAATGAAAAACAGGTTTAACTAATGAATGTAAGATGATTTTATATCAGCTTGCAGGGCTGTATGCTGATGTGATTTTTAGTGAAAGGGATACACTTTAATATTTAGGCTATTTGAATGCATTTTTAAGATTTAACGCCTGAGATTACTGTCACTTTAAAAATGCTTTCAAATACCTTAACTATTACCAATACTGGATCTTACTTGTGTATCACTCGGCTGTAGATCCTCAAATCATCTCTGAATTGGTGCTGACACTGTCCTTCCTTCTGGAGGGTGACTACTTTTGTTCCCCATGATCCTTGTGTGTGTTGTAAAGTAGCCACCACTCCAAGCTCACTCCCATGATGGACTACAATCTCACGTTTAGTTAGCTAATTTATATTGAGATTGTAGGCCATCACGGGAGTGAGCTTGGAGCGGTGGCTACTTTACAACACACACAGGGACCATGGGGAACAAAAGTAGCTACCCTTCAAGCTCACTCACAGGGACCATGGGGAACAAAAGTAACCACCGCTCCAATCTCACTCCCGTAATGGCCTACAATCTCAATATAAATTAGCTAACTAAACGTGAGATTGTAGTCCATCATGGGAGTGAGCTTGGAGAGGTGACTACTTTACAACACACACAGGGACCATGGGGAACAAAAGTAGCCACCCTCCAGAAGGAAGAACAGAGTCAGCACAAATTCAGAGATGATTTGAGGATCTACAGGTGAGTGATACACAAATAAGATACATTTTTGTTAATATTTAAGATACTTCAATGTATTGTTAAGATTTAACTCCTGCGTTTATTGTCACTGTAAATATACAATTGCTACTCTTGATGGGGGTAATACTTTTTTTCAATGCAGATGCTTCTTGTAACTTTCTTGAAAGCCTTCCAATTGATGCTTTTTTATTTCCATGAAAACAGGCTTTCAGCTCTATTTAGGACTTTACTAGTGATTGTAAAGCGATGGAACAGATTTTGATGAATGCTGGTTCTGCCTGGAAAGATTTTGCTTATGATTAATGTAAGTGACAAGTATATATATAAGTGTATAAGTAAAAATTCCTTATAAATTGGATCATGGAGTATGTCTCAGAGGGGAATATTTGCTACCTGCTGGCAGCACGGCCCCATACAAATAATTTATGTATTTCATCAGCCAGGCAGAAGCTGAATGCCGTTCTTTTTTCCGCTTAAATCCCTCACGTCCCTTCCTGTTCTCCTTCATCCACATTATTGTTAAAAGCTGAGAAAAGTTAACTGGCCGCTCGGCTCTGGCATTTTAGTTATTGAACTTCTGTCTTGTGTACAGGTGGAAATGGATTTCTCAGAGGCGTATACTGATAGATGTTCTTCTGTCGGACATGCAGCTCGGAGAGGTGATATAAAATCCTTGAGGAAACTAATTAAAAAAGGATCCAGTGTGGATGTGCCTGATAACAGAGGATGGATGCCGATCCATGAAGCAGCTTTTTCCAATGCGGCTCAGTGTTTACAGCTGCTAATTAGCTCAGGTAGAGGAAATAATAAAGCCTTATTAATAGGTTTGTTAAATGCATTTCATTACGGTTTTCTTATTTTTTGCTGTGTGCGCTACTGTTGGTGGAACTTTTTTTGTTTTTAATGGACTTCCTCTGCATTGGTGAAAGTTGAAATATGTTAAAGCAGAACTCTATCCAATTAACCAAATACAGTTTGAAAGTTAACCCTTTTCACACACGGTACATATTTAATTACTACAAGAGTGGAAAAATATGGAATTCAGGAGTCGGTCTGTCCAATCCAGGAGCCAGCATGTTTTTTTTGGAATTAGCTCTATTGACAACAACTTGCCTTGGCTACCTGGCTCTTTGGATTTATCCAGCCCTGAATTATTAACATATTCTGAACAAGCAGTACATTACTTAAAATAAAAACCCCTCATTCACCCTTGTAGCTATAGGCATTGTGGAGAAATTCACTTTCAAAGTTTACAACAGAGGCACTGAAATTACAGGCTAAAGTAGTCCTGAACTTAAAAAGTGAACATTTGCTATGTTATAGGCAATATGTGAGTGTGCCTTGACACTCCTGTGCCTACAGCCTTATAGCTCTATATCTGTAGTGTGAGATTAAGGTAAAATAAAGACCTATGTAGGGCAGTGCAGGCAGTCTAAGCAAGTACCAAATCCATTTACTATGTGATACACAAGCCTTCTCTTGCGTTTCACATGCTACCCCTCACAGTGGGAGTGTTTCAGCAACATATTTTTGAATTGGGAGGCCATAGTTCTATTTTAAGAAACTTCGGCCTCTGGATGCTAGTCTGGAGATTTACAGGGTTATTTACAAAAGGGTGAAGAGTTTGGAGAAGGCAGGAGAAGTGAACAATCTAGGACAACATAACTGATTTGGAAAAATTCTTCAATTCAGCTCACTTTCCAGCTCAGCTATGTTGTCCTAGATTGTTCCCTTCTCCTGCCTTCCCCAAACTCTTTTAGTGAATAACCCTGTTAGTGTAAAATTTGGGAATGCCACGACTGTGCTTGTCCCTGTTCTTCTTGCTGGAGGCTCTGACATGAGGAAGCAAAGCTCTGCCTCTGCCATGGTGGCCACCTCCACACAGAGACACAGTGCAGAACATGGCATGATAAGTCCTTAATGGGGAAATTATGAGCTGCAGGGATCCCACAGACAATACTGCTGACTAGTCATTTGGCCTCCACCTGACTTTTTTTGGGGGGGTACAGCTTCCAGAGTCCAGTTCCTGTTTAATCTTCGCAGCCTGCCAGCGCTGCAGTATAGACAAACACCAGGTGTTTCTATGGCCCCATTTGAACCTGTTTAGTGCAGCTGTTATTGGCACCCCAAAAGTAATAAACAAGGCATGCGTCAATGCAACATTTTATATATTGCAGCTTAACATTCCTTAGATGTGATGGCATTCATTTTTTTTTTGCAGGCTGTTTTCCTTTATTTTTACTTGATGATCCTGGGTATAACAGACTTCCTGTCCCTGGGTGGCTATGTGGACTCCTCCACTGTAGCAATGGAGAGAGCCATGGTTGCCATCCAGACTGGACTACAAACATGTCTGACTTTGTTCATCTCTATTACATGGGTGAGCACTAGTAGCTTATACACAGAAGATAAGATTGTTTTTGCACGTGACAAGGACACAGCATTTCTGGCAAGATCATCAGATATTTTCTGCACTTCCTGAGGATGTTCTTAGCCTGAATAATGAAAACTAATGCAGTCATTACATCTAAGTCCTGGCAAATTGCAATTTATACAATTTTCGTTACTTTAGTTTTCCTTTAAGGGTCGTGTCACACTAGCAAGTTTGTAGCAGCTGCAAATCTGTTACTGTTTCCTGGCAGTTTGTAGCTGGATAAAGAGTTGCTGCTCTAGCTGGCTACACTGTTTATCTATGCAGCTACAGATCTCTAGTACACTATGATCACCAGCGGCTGTATTGGATATTAGTAGTGGCTGAAGCTGGCAATTCTGTTGCTGGCTCCAAACTCTGCAGAAAATCAATTGCAAAGCAGTTAAGCTGCAAATGGTTTAAATAACGGACACAGTCCTTTCATTGACTGCAGTGATTTTATTTTCCTAGGAACAAAACACTAAAGAGAGTTAACCTGTAGCTGCAACAAATCGCTGCAACAAAACTGCCCGTGTGACATTGGCCCGAGAGTCTGCTGAGATCTTTGAGGGTATTTCAGAATGAATTAGTTCACAGTACATGCAGCTAGATAGGTCTGTTGGCTTCAAAGCTCTTTTACTGCTTGTTAAAAATATGTACATAATTTTGTTTAATCTGGACACAGGCACACTTAAAAGTATACACCGATCAGCTACAACATTATGACTACTTGCTTAATATTGAGTTGGTCCCCCTTTTTGCCACTAAAACAGCAGGACAAACCCAAGGTTTCCCAGCAGAACATTGCCCAAAGCATTACACTGCCTCCTTGCCTTCTGGCGCCATCTCTTCCCCAGGTAAGTGACACACACGCAGGAAATAAGCACAAGAGGGGCGCCTTTCCTGGTGCAGATCAATTTTATTTCAGTAGATATAAGTGAAAAACCGAATAGTACTCACAAACATAAGAATCACACAGCCATGGGATATGATGAAGGGGACGTGCCCCGGAAACGCGTTAACGTCACTACACATTGGTATCGCCTAGTGGACATCTTACTGCCTGTCAGCTCATATCCCATGGCTGTGTGATTCTTATGTTTGTGTGTACTATTCGGTTTTTCACTTATATCTACTGAAATAAAATTGATCTGCACCAGGAAAGGCGCCCCTCTTGTGCTTATTTCCTAGATTCTCAGCTTTCCCGGCTTCTTTGGGGCAGCGTCCTGCAGTATGCCTAAGAGGATTTCCCACTAAGGATTGACAGTCCGTGGCGCTTCATTGCTTTTACTTGGTTAGTGACACACACGCACCTGGCCATCTACAAGGTTTAAAAGAAAATGTGATTAATTAGACCAGGCCACCTTGTTCCATTGCTCCATGGTCCAGTTCTGATGGTCATGTGCCCACTGTAGGCACTTTTGGCGGTGGACACAGGTCAGCATGGGCACCCTGACTGATCTGTGGCTACGCAGCCCCATATGCAACAAACTTCAATGCACTGTGTGCTCAGACACCTTTCTAGGGGAACCAGCATTAATTTGATCAGCAATTTGATCTACAGTAGCTCTTCTATTGGATCAGACTACATGGGCCAGTCTTTGCTCCCCACATGCATCAATGAGCCTTGGCTAGCCATGACCCTGTTGCCAGTTCACTGATTTTCCTTCCTTGGACCACTTTTGGTAGGTCCTGGCCACTGCAGACTCGGGAACATCCCACAAGAGCTGCACCTTTGGAGTTGCCCTGACCCTGTCGTCTAGCAATCACAATTTGGCCCTAGTCAAAGTCACTCAAATCCCTATATTTGACCATTGTTTTCTGCATCCAACACATCAACTTCAGGGACAAAATGTTTACTTGCTGCCTAATATATCCCACCCACTTCCAAATGCCATTGTAACAAGATAATCAATGTTATTCACTTCCCCTCTCAGTGGTCATAATGTTGTAGCTGATCATAGTAATCTTTAACATGTTTACAAATTGTTCAAAAGTAACTTTTTTCTTTTCAAACATGCAACATTCATTAAAATAATAGTCAGTGATCCTGCTGTGAAGGATCTTGTTCCTGCTACAGGATTACAAGGCACTATGACGGTGTCCCAGTTGTCCCTTCTCACAGGCTTCCAATGGCGACTACAAGTTGCTGTTTGAACACACATTAGGAAGCCACAGTCCACAGTTGTCACTATCAGGAAACCTGAGAAATGCCATGCATGTAGATAGCAAAGGAACGCAAAGAGGACATCCGCAGCACTAAGATGCAACAAAGGATGCAAAATATGTGAACCCGTGCTGCCATACGCAACAAAGTATTGTTGAACCACATTGCAGTGCTTGCTTTTTTTCTTTTAAACTTGCATAAAATTCTGTGAGCTGCAGCACATTGAGATGCATCTGACCATGCTGTGCTGCTCCAAAATACAACATCAATCACTGCGATATTGTTACAAAAACTGTTACTTATACAGAAGTTATCCCTATTAATGTGAAAGCCAATTGTATAGTCTCCAGAACAGTCTCTGTGTTCTGAAAAACATCTAATTGTCCTTTCCTGAGAGTGGCCTAGACAGAAAATGTGTGTTCCTATCTATTTAGGTGATATTTAAGGATAATCCACCCCTTAACGCTGCATTGGGGAATCACATGTTGTGTCTTTGTATTTACACCGTACTAATAATACACACTTTTCCTCCCCTGATAGCTCCATCCAAGTCATATATCAAATCAAAAACATTTGAAGGTGAATCAGCATTGCATCTTGCAGCCAAATGTGCGAGCGTACAGTGCGCTGAACTTCTCCTTGGAGCTGGCGCTGATCCCAATGACCTGACCAATGATGAAACAACACCACTCTTCTTAGGTAAGAAAAAGAAACTGTAAAACATAACGCTGCCCTGCAGTAAGAGGAAAATCAGTATATGGTTACAGTCAGGTTGAAATCCATCGGGTTCAACCAGTAGATATAAATTGAAAACTTCCATTTACAGAACCCTGTGCCTTCCAGAGGAAGGCAAATACCCTCTTTCCAATTTACTCCAATAGGGAAGAAAATCTTTCTGATTCCCCAAGGCAGCTAGATATTCCCTGGAGCAACAATCTCTGGTGTTATTACTTATAAATGTTAATATCCAGTTATATTCTGTAAATTTTTAAGAATGTATCCAGCTTTTTAAAAATTATTAACTGAGCTGGCAAGAACTAATTCCTAAGGTAGTCCATTTCACATTTTAACAGCTCTAACTGTGAAGAAACCTTTCCATATCTGGAAGTGGAAGCTCTTTTCCTCCAAATATAAAGAGTATCCCTTGTCATTTTCAATGGTCTTAAAGTGAATACGTTTGCACCAAGCTCACTAAATGGAACATTTATGTATTTATATATGGTGATCACATCCCCCTTAACTTTTCTCAATAGAGAATAAATTCAGTTCAGATAATCTTTCTTCATAGCTGAGCTCCTCCATGCCTCTTATCAGTTTAGTTGTCCTTCTCTGCACTCCAACACCCTTTTTGTGGACTAGTGTCCAAAACTGAACTGCATATTCCAGATGAGGTCTTACTAATGCTTTGTACAGATAGAAGATTATGTCTTTCTCTGGAGTTTATACCCCTTGTGTTACAAGAAAGTATTTTGCTTTTATTAGAAACTGCAGCTTGGCATTGCATGCTATTAATAAAGTGACACTAAAATCAGGAATTAAATCTTACAAATATATTCAAGTACCTTAACGATTAACATCAATGCATCTTATTTGCGTATCATTCAGCTGTAGATCCTTTGAATTCATGCTGACACTGTCCTTCCTCCTGGAGGGGGGCTACTTTTGTTCCCCATGGTCCCTGTGTGTGTTGTAAAATAGCCACCACTCCAAGCTCTAAATGATGCACAAATAAGGTCCAGTACTGTTAATAGTTAAGGTATGTAAAAGCATTTTTATGATTTAAGTGTAGTGTCACTTTAAGTCTGTGATCCAGCAGACCACCCAGATCCTCCTTGATTATTGACTCTCCTAGTTGCACTCCTCTTAGAGTGTGTGACACATGCATGTTTTTAGTCCCCAAGTGTATAACTTTACATTTATTAATATTAAACCTTCATTTATATTTGATCATTATCAATTAACTCCTTGTTTTGCATGGTGTTCTTTACATTGTGAAGAGTTATCCAACCCTATATACAGACGGTCTTTTCCGTGTGGCTAAAAACAATGGTATTTTATAATATGGTAAAGGTTTGCTGGTTGAAGTTTGTTATTATGTTTTATGGGTACATTATAAAGAAAGCGTGGAATTGTAATATAGGTGCGGTAAACTACCCTTTGTGCTCTTGCATGATTAATAATGTTCAGTCCTACAATAATAATGTGAACAATGCTTCCTTAAAGTGACACTCCAGGCATACTTGGTGACAGCACAGAAATTAGAGGGGTCTGGGTGATGTTGTTATTCTACTGCAGGTCAGCTTTAAGTTCACTTCAGTGAATGCACTTTGTTGTAAAAGTATTTTCTGTTTCTATCTGTATTCATAGGCTAATAAAACTGCAGGATAAAATACTGTATTGAGCCCGACCCGTAACCACCCATTTAAAGTAGATATAAATCCAATTGCTAAAATTTCATATAAGCTTCAACATGTTAAAAATGAACTCCAAGTATAAATATTTATGTATATATACATTGGCCCAGCTTGGCCCAAAGTAAGTTTGCATATTTTTTTTACCTGGTAGGGCCATGGTCGTACATGATCGTGGCTAAATGATGCTTGTGATATGTTTCTTCAATAAATAATCAAAAGAATCTAATGCGTTTGACTGAGTGCTGGTGATCTCCGTTTCCTATGATTTTGGAAAACACGGCGCCATCCGTGCCATCATCACGACCATTAATCTACGTCCAATCGCTGTAAGGAGTGCATGTGACACATCACTACATGATTGGGGCATGGGGATACTGTAAATCACTGTAGTAGTTGGTGCTACTACAGTACTTTACAGCAATCTTCTCGGCCCTTTACTGCTGCCATGCTGAGCGACTTCCCCTCTGATGTGAAAACACAGGAGGTAATTCGCTCAGCACAGTGGCCAATGAGAGAACACCTAGTATTAATTGATTAAAATGTTAGGTTTTCACTGAATGGCCGCAGTGCCGAGCGAGTGACCCTCTTTGTTTTCACAGCAGAGGGGAAGTTGCTCAGCACAGTGGCAGTATCAGGACCTGGAAGACTGTAGTAGCGCCGTCTACTACAGTGTTTTACAGGGACCGTGTGGCCCTACCAGATATAAAATCTGTTTACTTACATTGGGCCAAGCCGGAGCATTGTAAGTATACATAAATAAATATACCTGGAGTTCAGCTTTAATGTAATTTTCAATCTTTTAAAATCTGCAGATTTCATTACAATCAACCCGGCGATCCTGCCGTAAATGTCCATGTTCAGCCCCTCCCTGATATTGGGTGACCATGCTCTGTCTCTGTGCTCCAATTGCTCTCCTGCGTTATCACCATGTCACATGTGTTTCTGGTGGAGACGGTTAGTGACCCTGTTGATACTTACTTATTACACAGGCATGTTCCGTTGTTGTCACCATCAGGAAATCCACCCTGAACAATAATGTGCAGCTGCCCCTGGAGTGCATGTAGACAGGAAGTGGCTGCAAAGTCTTTGGAGGAGTTCAGCAGCCCTGAGATTAAATAAATGTAAAAACAGTATTTTCTAAAGGTAAAAACATGGCAGTTGTTTATGATACACAGTGCTTTAGCAAAATCAGTGTTATCCAACTAGAGTTTGGATCTAGTTTACCAGGTCCCATCTATCGGGGTTATTAAAATTCATGAAGAATTTTGGAGATAGTAAGTCCAATGTAAGCAGATAAAAAAGGAGCTTGTGCATTACCTGACAAACACAATGCCCAGAAAAAGTAATTGAGAAATGTGTACTGGCAATCCAGCAAATAAGTACAAATATATAGAAATATTGTGCACTGCAGGTTACATTAAAAACTCTTTTGCATTGGAACACAATACAAAATAATTTGCCCTTCTTGCCCTAAGTGTCAGAGGCGTTGGCAGCTCCCAGATGGATCCACTTAGTACATGCTGCAGAAAGCTGTACTCCATTTGAATTGTATTAATCATATTGGCCTTTTTTATTATGGGCTGTCTCCAGATGTTTATGCAGTTTATGTTCATGACGTTTTTTAAATGCAAAGAGGATATATAGCTGAAGCACCATTACAGTGCCTTTCCTACTTTAATTATTATAGACAGCAAGAGAAAAATCACTACTGGGTTCCTGCTACCCTTATTTAAAAAAAAGCCTCTTCTTTGTCACATCTGATATCCGTTTTATGAGATTATCCAACTACTTTGACTTGGATAAGCCCCACCCACCGATGGTCCTAACTAGGGCTGCAACAACTAATCGATTATATAATCGTTTATTGAAAAAGTTTTCAACTTTTTCAATCATCGATTTATCGGCTTCAGATTGGTTGGCCCTGTTCACGGCTCCACACACGCTTCGCGTCACACCTCCTCCCCACCAGTTGAGAACCAAGGCCTTAGATCAGGGATGTCCAAACTCCGGCCCTCCAGCTGTGGTGAAACTACAAATCCCATGAAGCATCTCTCTCTGGGAGTCATGTCTGTGGCTGTGAGAATCTTGCAAAACCTCATGGGATTCGTAGTTCCACCACAGCTAGAGGGCCGCAGTTTGGACATCCCTGCCTTAGATGATCTCCTATTGCATATACTGTATATTGCTATGGGGCTTTCAGAACAGGAGTACCTAGGCACACTCGCATATGAGTAAGTGCACTACTATTTTTTAGGAGAAAAAACTCCAGGGAACTCCTGGCAGAATTTTTCTTTACCCTTGCAGTGGGGCTACCTCCGCACTGCAAGGGTTAAGTGCTCGTTTTTGTCTAGGTGCTAAAAAAAGTTATACTCACCTGAACCACCAAGCCGGCTGCCTGCTTCCCTGTGATGATTTACGGGACCTTAGACGACTGCAGCGGAGGGGGAGAAAGGCTCCAGTGATCGGTCTAAGAGCAATTCAGCTCAGAGAATCGGGTGAATATAACTTTTTTTAGCACCTAGACAAAAAAGAGCACTTAACCCTTGCAGTGTGGGGGTAGCCCCACTGCAAGGGTGAAGAAAAATTCTGCCTGGTGTTTTGCTTTAAGACAAAAGGGAACATTTACAGGGTACTGTTTAGGCATAATTCATTTTCTAGATGTTTTCTATAACATAGGAAATCTTTACTTTTTGGGTTAATTTTTTGAGTCCAGTTTCAGAATTCAACTGGAAGAATGAAACTTCCATAATGGCCACTGCTTATGGGTAGAGTTGGGATTGCAAGGGCAAATATCTTGCTATTAGAGTTTCTGAGTGGTAAAACATAATAATAGGTCATTAAATTTGCCACGATCCTCTAAAATGGAAATATAATTTATCGACTGGCTGACCATATAATAACATGGGAGCTTTTCTTGTATGTGCTTATGCAATTTTGGTGCAAATTTACTACGAAAGCCCAATTTATAATCTGGTTCATACCATATAAAATGGGTTGTTTGTGTTTTATATATGTAACTTGATTCTGTGTCAGGTTAAATGATATTTGAAAGGTTTTACTGGTTGTTCAGTCATCCATTTAACCAATGGCTTGCTTCTGCCCTTTAACCTCAGTAGTTATCCAGAGGTCAGGATGATTCTTTTTTTTGGTCATATTTACAACCGGTAATCTCAGCACAGACCTCAAATGCTTTTTGCTGTGCTGGTCAATGTCTTTGAATGCTCTTTGGCTGTATTTTTTCCCTGTGTCTTATTTAGATTGTGTAGCCCCCTTTGTAACCCCTCC